CCGGAGAGTCGACTCGTATGTTAATACGTAAGCGTAAAGATCTTGCGGCTTTGCGACCCGCTCGCGATCCCGAAACTCCGCCACGTGGTTTTCCGTCCTTCGTAGGGAAATTCGTTGACGTTGGCGTGCTAGGCTGCTCTCTCGATTTAGTTCCCAGGAAGCGATTAATGAACGTCGTGTTAAGGAATCGTGTACAATTTTCGGGTCTAGGGGAACTTCTGTTGACGATTGGATAGGAGAATTCGTGGATGATCCAAACACTTTGGAAGGCGTAATTCTGTGCTGAAGTAAGGAATGCCTGAGGGAGTAAAAATGACTGTCATTTAGTAGGAAGCGATGTAGGTTCATTGAGAATTCGTTGAATATTTTCCTAGACCAAATAGGAGAAAGAGAAAATAAATTAAATTGTATTCCATAGCTTCAAAGTCTGATGAAAATAATATGTAATTAATAATGACACGATGTAGTGATGTAGGAAGCCAAAAATAGGATTTATTGTGTCTTCAGCTGTTAGAAATAACGTGTACGTGTTCCTTCTTTTGTATCAAAGGAATATCGAATTTACGCAAACGGTTTGAGACTCAAGAAGGCGAAGAGAAAACGCAGAAACTAACAGATTAAATGTGAGAAAATTATATTGGGATAACGTAATTTTAACTCACGGAAAACACGTTTTTCTCGTCTCTCTGAGATCCCGAAGGACTTATGTCCGTGATCCGACCGATTATAAATTATATTGGCAAAGAATTGGCAAAGATTCTTCGAGGCTTGTCGACTCAAGACTCTCTCTGTGTCATCAAGTAACCTATTTCAATGTCCTTCGTCGTGCTTGATGACACGCATTAATCAATCGCTAATTGGCTGATATGATTCAGCCAATTAGCGATTTGTCCTCGTTAAAATTACGTTACCTCGTCGATTCGCGACTCGCCCCTGTGAAAATTATAATTGCGCTGACCTGCATTTTGCCCCCCTCGCGAAGACCACGCAATTCGGTTAACTTATTTCTAAGAACAGCTTTCTATATTGGCATTGGCCGATTTGCGATTTCTTTTTCTTAAATGAGACCTTGTATCGGTATTGACCGATTCGCGATTTCTTTTTCTATAATAAAATATTGCATCGGCATTGATCGAATTGCGATTTCTTTTTCTAAAATAAAACCTTGTATCGTCATTGGCCGATTTACGATTTCTTTTCCTAAAATAAGATTTCGTATAGGCATTGGCCGATTTGCGATTTCTTTTCCTAAAAATATCATCCTGCAATGGTAAAATTGAAAAATAAAATTAGGAAGTAGGAAAGATTCTGAAGAAGATAAAGAAGACGACGCACCCACGTAATAGGGGCAAATTGTAATGACATAACGGGTGGAAAGGAGGTTTTTCTTCGAAGTGGAATGGAGTCGCGGTAAGGAAGGAAACGATGTCGCACAATAGTGGTCGATTATTACCGAGAAACCCTTCGCCTGCGAGGTTACAGAAACGTTAACCGCGCACACTCGTTACACGTAGGAAGCCCCTTGCGATTCGGGCGGGGTTAAATGTGACGAGGAAAGGAAATCCCATATGTCGAGAAGTCCCTGCACGTTACCCTCGATCCACATATATTAACTCGGGAATTGAAGGGGGACTGAGGAGACAGGTCCTCGACAAGATTTTGATCTTCGTAATCCTTTTCGTTTGACTTTCGTCATTCCTTCGTTCATTTATCTCCACCTCTTCTCGTCCCCCTTCGACGTCGAATTTTTAATTTCGAAAATTAAACGGAGAGCGTAAGACTGCAGGGACGAAACGTGATAAATTGCATTGCTTATGAGGGAACGATTTTAATTGGTTCTGGCATTAATTATGTATCTTTCTCGCCCCTTTTAATATGCAAAAGCGTCTTTCGTTGATCATCGCGAATTTATTATTTATTTATGGTGTATCTCGTTTTAACTGTCGTTCAATTTCATCGTTTTAACCCCCAGTCATATTATATTAAAAGTTCAACAAAAATTCACGTATTATCTTCTAATAAATATTGTTCTAACGGTGGAATATATAGAATTAAAAAAAGGTTAGAAAATATGGAATAGAATTATATAGATTGGAATACGAAATTGCAGTAAAATGTGGAATAAATTTCCGTCATGAGAGGAATTTCAGTTTCCACTACGCGGTGTAGAAAGCATACAGAATATCGCGTCATAAAGGCTCACGGTGCCCTTTACTGGAATATTTTTTAACGCCACCACGTGGTTGCCTCGGCGATATCTGTCGTCAAATTTATATAAACCGAAACAGCGATTTTACGGCCAGGCCGGTACATTTAATGCGCGCTGTAATAAAACTGGCACCGCCATGTTTCAATGAAGCATCTAAAATATTACCCGCTTTATGGATTTAGTTGACTCGCGCTAAAGTATTTATGCGGCTGAGGGAAAAAATTGGAAAATAAAGAATGAAGGGAACGTATCTTGACTGTGCATTAAAGCTGACGCTGATGTACGGGCTAAAGGGACGAATGGCCATAAAAGGATTCAGTGGACGTGACATTAGTGCTAGGGCGCATTCTCCGAAACAGGCCGCGAGGGAGAACGCGGAAATTCAAGGGTGGGCGCGTTAATTAAACGCTTTAAAAGGACGATGAATAACGGACAATGTTAATATTTCACCTTGATTCCGTTCTTTCCATCTCCAGCGAATTTCCATGCAAATCTTACTCCTCGACACCTCTTTGAACGAAAGCAATAGCTTAGCATCGAGCACCATCTTCGATGTATACTCGTATATTGCTGTTAAACTTGTATTTCACTTCAAATAAAATATATACCACGATTAATTAAAAGAAAAGCAGTTTCGATTACTGTAGATTCCTTTTTATTCGTCTTTTGTTGCTTGCGACAGCCTTAAAACAATTTTCCGCGTAACTCACTAGCGCCACCACGACCCGTATCTCCGATAAACGCGTCTACCGTGAATACCCTGCTCTTCGTTGAATTATAGTCCAATTTTATCGATAGAATCTCGAT